CAGCCTTCCTTGCCTTCTTTAGCCATTGGTCTGCGTGTAAGGTCTTGTCATCCAACTGAAAATTAAATAAACAAGCAAGCAAATCAAATCTGCTGAGCCAAATTAGGGATACAAATGAATTTCTCTCACTGTGAAACGCCAGCATAGATTATTTCGTTTTGAATTTCACTGTACTATGTCTCTAAACGGCCCGCTTGCGTTCCGACAGGAGTGATGGATACGCTCGGTTTGTGAACTGGAATGTTATGCCAGAGGAACCAATAATATGCTGAACTGAGTCCGACCCTCACATCAAAGCTCGTTATCCTTTGAGCTCACGAGTTGGTTAGATTTTTGCCACTGAAAAACACTTGAATGTAAACCCAGCTTTTGGGTGTTCAGAGGAACGGTTTGAATCTCTGTTCAAACAGGATAGAAATCATGTTTCCGGGCCTGCATGATGGATGTCTGCATCTCCCTTATTCTGAGCGACTGGCATGCTCCGAGTCGCTCCCCAAACATCTAGCATTGTGCCAAACAAAGGCCAGTTTTGTCTGACAAACAATGGGTAGCATTTACCCTGGAATGTGCTTGGTGACAGGAGATACAGCACGTGTGTCTTACAATGGACAATGGGAAATATCCACAGAGAATGGCCAACATCAGAAGCCACATCTCCCAGTTTCTGCAATCAGACTTGTGCAGATGGCGGGACAGCTTGTCCAATCAGTGGATGCCATGGACATTGTCTCTTTTTTGGCAGTTTGTTTTTTTTTTTTTATCTTTGGCTGGATCGTACCGGTGAACAAACAGCTGTCTGGTTAGATGGTTGGATGGACATTCGGTGCAATGGGGTGACGAATAACACTCTTCTGTTTGCGTATTGTATTCGCCTGTGTTGTTTCGTTAATAATGTTTGGTAAATAATGAAGAGTGGGGACTGAGGCTGCAGCAAGAAGATGACGATAGAGAGAGAGAGAGAGAGAGAGAGAGAGAGAGAAGGCAGCTGGTGATCTAAGTATATCGGCCCTTACCGAGAGGCAGCAGGGGGTACAGACAGGCTGTCAGAGACTATGAGTCAGGTTCTTTCCTGCCAGACCAGTTTGGGGTGGACATGGACATCGAGACTTTAATAAGATGTTGGGTGACAAAGAAACGATTGCTGCAGCACAAAAAGAAAGTATGCAATCAGATATCAGAAAACAAAGCTTCTCCTGCTATGGCTGGTAATTAACTGATAAGATCCTCATTACACCTCCAAATTAAAAAGTATATATAAAATAAGCCAGTATCAGAAAGTTTATCTACGTTTCTAACAAAATTGGAATCAGCCTATCGGTAAGATGTGTCTAAAGATATATATGGGGCGGCCACAAGCTGTACATACACAAGACAACAGGAGTTATATCATACCACCTTTAATGACGATTCAGGCTTTTTAAGAACTGAAAGCAGTTCCGGCAATCTAAACGGAACATTCCACCTAATTAATGTGGGAAACTAATTAGCGTGGGAAATTGTCTCCTTCACTTGCACACCATTTCGATCAAAAGTACCAACTAAAGAAATAAATGTAAATGTGGAAAAAAAAACGGAAACTCATTGTCTTCCCCTGCATAGTCAAAGCAGAGAGAGGAGACACTGAAACACAGTGGGATGAGCAAGCAGTAAATGTATCTGCACGATACGAGCGCCACGCAGCTCCCGTACAGACATACACATTGATGACGTTCGGAATAATGCCTCAGGAAATCGCTAATTGAAGTGGCTTTGTGTCGGCTCTGTTCTCACTAGCTTCACAAAGAGACAGAGGGCTGTAGGGTTATTTCAAGCCAGGCTTTCAATTAGTGTAACTTTTAATAAGCCGAATGATTGGAATCTATTGACTCAGAAATGAACTCTCTCTTTGCAGGTACAGCATGTCTATAGTTACATTACTGAGCATCTTAGCATATGTATAATAGGCCTGTTGCGGTCAAACAGAGTGCAGCGGCGCAGTCCTTTCCTGAGCCTTACCAGAGCTACTTTAGTGGGTCCAGAGGGAGAATCACGGAGGCTGCGCTCCACCGGACCTCAGACCGAGGCACATCTTGCTTCATAATTTATGAGGCCAGTCTCTCTTTGTAATCACAGGATCACATCACGGCGGCTTTGAATTATTAACGTGGTGTGGGATCGCTGTGTAAATCAGTGGCAAGAGCAAGGCTGTTTTACAAGAACATTACGAAGGGGTGAGGAGCTCCAGCAGGAATTCTCCCCCGTGGAGCCCCCGGTGGCACAGGCCATGGCGCTAGCAGACGACACCGACTCGCAGGACCACAGAGGACCCCGACCCTCCCTGGAACCTGCTTCACATGAATTACTTTTCCCTCCAACCTTGTTCCAGCTGCTCACTGATGCACAAAACCGTATGTTCAGGTCTGCTGGAGACGGGTCTCTACCCAGCTAGTATCACAAACATCTTCCTCCATGTACACCTGCCTCTGAGCAGCTTTAGAGGGGCAGGGGGCTGAAGAACTGGAGAGAGGGTATCGCACATGTGATCATATGGCTATGCCTTTCCAGTTACCCGATTGGTTAGGACCCAACACGTGACTCCTTAATATTCATTATTAGACAAACATCCAGGTGTTTCAAAAAGTGTGCTTTGATCTTACCCTCGCCAGGGACAGGACCTTGTGATGTCCTCACACCATGTTTTGTCGGGAAGCCACCTCAGCAGAGTCACCAGTTACTTTAAGGATGTCTCATACTGCCAACACTACACCATAAGCAGCCCCAACCTGCTTAAACAATAACTTATGATGGATACTCCCACCCATACTTTTCCACCACCGTTCCAGTTTTATTTGGTCCCCAAAAACAGATGATACAAATGGTACAAACGCCTTTCTGGAACATTTTAAATTATTATTTATTGTTGCTTCTTAGTTTTAAGAACAAACCCACTCAGTCCCACCCACCCACCCAAAAATACACATATTGTTACACCTGCACCTCAGTTCCTGCAAGGTCTTTAAGTTAACGATGCATAACACCCAGCCTCACAAATACTTTGTTACACAGTAGTCTTGTTCCATTGGTTTAGTATAACAGAGAAACCCATATGAGAACGAGATGATCCTGCCCAGATCTCTACGAACACAGCGAGAGAATGAACATGAGCAGGACTTTGGAATGATAAAGTACATCGGTGTCCACGGAAATCCAGTTACTTTGAAGCACACGTGTTACGGAATATCAATAATACCCAGAAATGAGTGAAAATGTGGAACGGAATCTTTGGAGTGATTAAAAAAAGACTGATTAGTGAAAGCAAGACATTTTGGGTGTTTCGCTGTTGCAGGGTGAGTTGGGGTGGTCTGGATTCTCTGTTGCAGGGTGAGTTGGGGTGGTCTGGATCTGCGCGGGCGTAGGAATGGCTTGTCAAGAGTCGCCCACAGCTGGCTGCAGATGTGCAAATGATCCTGGATGAGAAGCCCATGGCACATTCTCCGGTGGTGTATCATAAAGTCTTAACACTGGCCGTTAGGTAGTATTCTATTCACAAAAATATTACACAAATATACACCTATATGTACAAATACACTTTACCTTCAACGTCAGAGTCCAGGCACTTCTGGGTGACACCCTGGGGTTCTAAATAAGGGTCCAAAGAACAGTTTACCATGTGATGTGACCTTTCACGTAAGCCCAAATGACTTTTACGTCATCAGGTGTCTCAGATTTTCATATAAAGCCATGATCACCCACAGGCTAGAACTTAATAATGTGCCTTCGCTTTATCTTTTGACCACGACCTGATCCACACTCCGCCAATGTGCCTGAACGAATGGGGTGTTGGTTTTTATACCAGCTGCCAGTGCTGGCCGTGGCTGTCACCCCGGGGGAGCTCCCCCCGCCCGCTGGGACAGCTACGCGTCCAGCCGCCTGCCACACGTCATGGCCGTCCTTCATGGAGCCGGTCTGCACCCTCATCCGACTAACATGGACTCTTCCTCAAAAAAATATCAGAGCTGAACAGGAGTCAAAGATGAAGCAGGTGGAATCAAGCAATGGTCATTTTTGTCAGGGGAAGGTGGATCAGAATGGAGTGGAGAAATGGTGCGTGGGGGGTGGGGGGGGTTCGGTCGGCAGCACACGTGATCCCACGACAGAGACATGAGGCGAGATTAGCTCAGGGTCACGGATGAGTGCACCCAGGTGCAGACCCAACCCCCTTCTCCGTGACTGGCCACCTCTGCTTTCTAACACATTTACTTCAGAAAAACAGTGGGGGGTGTTATGGGGATGCGGGGGGGAATCAACTTTGGGGATTGGGAGGGTTCAATAATTACATGTATTGGACATTATGTCAAGGGAAAATAAACAATAAACCAACACACTAGTGGAGTTTGGGTACAAAGAGACAGCTGTGGCTGGTGGTGGCACAGTATGCATACTCAGAGTTGCAGGTGTATGCGTACTCAGTCGCAGATGTATGCATACTCAGGGCTGCAGCTGTATGCAGACTCAGAGTCACAGATGTATGCACATTCAGAGCCGCAGCTGTATGCACACTTAGAGCCGCAGCTATATGCACATTCAGAGCTGCAGCTGAATCCACACTCAGAGCCGCAGCTGTACTGTATGCACATTCAGAGTCTCAGCTGTATGCACACTCAGAGCCGCAGCTGTATGCACACTCAGAGCTGAAGACGTATGCATGCTCAGAACCGCAGCTGTATGTACACTCAGAACTGCAGCTGTATGTATACTCAGAACTGCAGCTGTACGCACACTCAGAACTGCAGCTGTATGTACACTCAGAACTGCAGCTGTACGCACACTCAGAGCTGCAGATGTATGCACACTGCAGATGTATGCACACTCAGAGCTGCAAATGTATGCACACTCAGAGCTGCAGCAGACCTCAGCAGAGAGCCCTTTGCACTGCATTCATCCCAAAGGCCACAGACCCCCTTTCGGCACCCAGGGAAATATAGTCAGACACTGCACTTTTACACTGAAGAACACTGGCATGCCGGCACACTGGTAATATTAGTCCCCGCTTTACACACACATAGGAGATGGGACTTCCAGACAAGAACATCTACAAACTCAGATAGCTATATACACATATACAGGGCAAAGCCAAACATAAAAATAGCATGAGAATTCTCTCATTTTGGGGTGGCACCATTAGATGAGTCGTGATAGAAACCTCCCCCCCCCACAATTTTTTAAGAGTTGCTTAGAGTCCAGTCCATGCTGATCCCAGATGGAAAAACCAGTGAGTCCACTCCACGAACGTCACGAAGAAAGGAAATCCAGAAAACACGACACAAGCACCTGGAATGTCGAGAACTCCTCTGAAAAGGTGTTTTTTTTCCACCGTAATTCGTAACATCAATGGTACGCAGGATGATCCTCGCTGAAGCCGGCGGCTTTAGCCGTCCTTAGCAGCACAATACAGCCAGATGGTCTGAGGAGATGGAACCACAGTGAACCCCGGGCTTAGCACAGCTGGCACCTGTGGGTCACGTGACCAGGGAACTGCCCAGCGAGTCACAGGAAGTGAGCAGTGGTCTCAAACAGAGGGATTCGCTCATTCTGTCCTTAGGACTTGGCAAGGATGCTCAACACAGAACAGCCTGAGACCCCCCCCACACACACACACACCCACACCCCTTAAGCAAAAACAGACCAGGAAACAAAACAGCAGTCACACATTAAGGTTAAAGGCAAGATTCTTCCCCATCTCTGACATTGCTCTGTTCTGCACACCATCGATTCCAGGTAAGGCCTGTTAATCCAAAGTGTTGAGGATGCACATAAGGGAAACAAGCTTGTGGCGACCACACAGAGATGGTGGCTGAGCTGGAGGTTCCAGTCCGGGGCGAGGAGGTGGAGTCACACTGTGCTGCTATCTCACCTCCATGCAGTCCAGGTACTCCAGTGCCAGGTCATAGCAGAACCTGTACTGGTCCTGAGGAAAGACAAATGCAAGCATGAATTGGTTACATCACTGCTTCCCAATCCGGTCCTCCAGGATCCTCAGACAGTCTACGTTCTCGCTCTCAACCAAGAGCTGGGAGAAAGCAAAAACATGGACTGTGTGGCAGGGAACTGGGAGGAAGCAAAAACATGGACTGTGTGGCAGGGAACTGGGAGGAAGCAAAAACATGGACTGTCTGGCAGGGAGCTGGGAGAAAGCAAAAACATGGACTGTCTGGCAGGGAGCTGGGAGGAAGCAAAAACATGGACTGTCTGGCAGGGAGCTGGGAGGAAGCAAAAACATGGACTGTCTGGGGGGGTCCCCAAGGAGCAGGTTGGGAAACACTGGGTGACATAATTACATAGTTAATTACATAATTAATTCATTACTAGATTATTATGATTTGGGGGACTCTACTAGCTAGAATTACATGACATAAAAAAAAACTATTCAGAGCCATGATTTAAATTGTAGGATGGCATTCATCAAGGCTTCTGTAATTTACAGATGCGTGCATTGAGATACAGATGTAACTCCAACGAGGAACTGTACCCATGAAATGACCCCAGCAATAGGACATCGAGACGTCCTGAGGGGCACTGTCCCTGCGCCTACTCACCAGGGACTCCACCATGTTGGGCTTTGAGTTCCGCAGTGTCTTCACGGCGTAGAAGACGTCCACCATGTTCTGGGACTCGATCATCTCCAGGATCATTGTGCAGGCGCAGAAAGTTCCACTGCGTCCACCGCCGTTGCTGTCACACACAGGCAGATACACCTCAATGCAAGACCTTACCAAAGGTGCATTATATATATTTATATACATATATGCACATATACTGTATATATATATACACACACACACAAACGTGTACATATATAAATATGTAAATATCACAGGAAAATGCTACCGTGGCTGCAAAACACACTCATTTTTTCAGTTTATATTTATAAACAAGGATACCCAATGGGGATTTGTCTTACATAAGAAGCTCCTCAATAGGAGATGAGCTTACATACACTCACTGGCCACTCTGTTAGCAGCTGAGACGGGATGCAGAAAACCAACCGGGGCAAGAGCTTCAGTCATCGCTCAGCCAAGCATTTATATGATTGTGGGCAGCAGAGTGCTTCAGTGGGCATAGCCGTACAATACACCTCCAGGGTATTGGGTCTAGGCCCTTCCTCTGTGTGAGTGAAAGTTGCATGTCTTCCCGATGGCTGTGTAGGTTTAATACTGCTATTGCTTGTGCGGGTGTATTCATGGATTTATGATATTTGATTTATGATTTATGGATTTATGATATGGCTTCATATTAATACAAAATAATACATGCACATAAAGTATATAAAACTTTGTAAATGTGTCCCAGTGACTGGATGGAATTCCATCTCTACATCACTGTGTACAGTGACAGTAGATGGTGCGGGTGCCCACAGGCACGTCAGCCTCAAAGACGACAGCGGTGGGCGCAGAGGGCACTGGGCAGATTCATCGTTAAGGAGCGCGGAGCAAACGGTGGGAGGGGCAAGCCTATGAGGGGTCAGCAGGAAAAGATGCGGAGACTGATTTCTTCTGCAGGAGCCGTCCGCTGCGGCCTCGGTTACGGCGGTGTGGCGGTTCATGGGAACGTAGCGGCAGCCAATAGGACAGCAGGGAGTTCTTCAGTGAAGATGGTAATACCTGCTGTCATGATGTGACACTGTGCTTGCGGGGGTTTGCCCATGTGTGTGCGGCGGCGATTGCGGGGGGTGCAGACTCACAGGCAGTGCACGACGGTGCGGCCCTCCCCGCTCTCCCGTTGCCACTCGGCCACGTGGCCCAGCAGCCCCAGGAAGGCCTTCTTGGAGTCGGGAACGTCGCGGTACGCCGACCAGCGCAGGAACTGGAACTGTCGCACCAGCATCTGACCCTCCTGTAGCTGGGGGGAGCAAAGGGGGTCAGATTTCACGTGGGTGCCCGACTACAAGCACCTACATGCGTCAGGCAGGCCCCCTCAGGATGGGGGGTGCACAGCTAGGTAAACCCCCCCGGTCGGGATTAACACCTGCAGCAGCGGGCTCAGGGGTTCTGATCCGGCCAGCGGTGCCAGAGCCAGCTACAGCTGTGTATTGGGCACCTGAGGAAGTGAGGGGTTATGTGTGTGTGTGGGGGGGGGTGTTAGTGATTCAGGCAGCACCAGGGGAGGGGGGTGAAGGCAAAATCGCCAGCTGTCTCTCCAGCTGCCTGCTCTGCGCCCCTGTGTCTCCATCCCGCATTTCTGTCTCGCGCGCTCCAGCGTTTGTCCTGCTGACTTAACGCGCTTTAATGCACCGACCTACACTGCATTCCCGCTGCCTGCTATTTTTGGAAGGGCTCCCAGGGTGAGGCGGCGTGGAGCAAATCCTGACAGGTGTCATAAGCGGAGGTGGCTTTAAGACGGCGCCCTCCTGCGCAGGGGCTGTCAGCAACGAGGATGGGGGACTGAGACACACACGCACACACACACAAACATACACACACACACGCACACAACACAGGCGTGCGGACGCTACCATGACAAAGCGGCAATCAAAACAGCAGCGACACACACGGGGGACAAACACAATACCACGCACAGAGAAGCACACACACCTCTTCTAAGACACATACTGCCTCAAGACACAGACTCACATGAAAAGGACTGATGTTTTCCACAAACTGATATCCAAGCATGTGGTAAACACACACACACACACACACACACACACACACGCTAGACACAAAATCCTCCTCATCGTTTGGATTCTGCCAGATACCCCACACACGGTGGACACCATTAAAACCGTATGACGTTTTACGAATACACGGAGCAGGGAAACATTCTTGAAAGCGTCAGGAATGGAAAATCGCGCGGTGGATGTGACATCCATTACGCTGAAAGCCCCGGTAACAACGCCAGAGGCAAAAAAAAACACGCGCTATAATATTAAAAAACAAAAACAAAAAGCCATGAAAGGAGCCATGGAGTCACTGTGAGGAAGCTGATGTATTTTTTTATACACATGATATCAGAAAGCGTTTGTTCCGTTTTTTGTCCTGAAGGTGTTTTGTGAGTTCAGTGTTCTGGGGGCGGCACAAAAATCAGGAAAACGTTGAGCTTGAGCAATGGGAAGATCGTCAGGACGTGCAGTTGGGCTCAGATGCTCCCCAAGCATCGGTGAAAAGTTCTGAATTACTTTTCTGGGTTTCTGTGTGTGCATGTGTGTGTGGTTGCATGTGTGGCTGTGGGTGGGAAGCATTCATACCATTGTAAGCTTTAAAGACACTTGTGTAGCTTAAAGCTCTGTGTAAACTGGGCTACGTAGAGCGGTGTGTTTTACTGAGCATGCGGCCAGCTTACGTTAGAGAGGCCGTAGACGGTAAACCACAGATTTATTACCGAATTCTGATGTTAATGTTTTTTATTTTTTTTTTGCAAAGTCATTCAATAATTTCAAGATCTGAAAATCCAAACAAAGGATGCTGATCCTTACCCGTGTGACGTTCTGGACCCGGAAGAGGCGCGTGATGACGTCTTCATCAGCAGACCTGGACAGGAACTCCACCTGCATGGGTCCGTACTGCTGTGTGCCGGGCTCCGGCCAGTACTGGACACATGGCTGGGGGGCGGGGGCAGGAATCAGCAAGATTGGACAGAAAAAAAGCAGGTTGAGGCCACATTGGAACGACAAATATCTGGCCGGTATCCAATTAAGAAAAAGATTCAGTGGCCTGTTTTAATTTCTTTTCCATTTTTTTTTTTTGGGGGGGGGGGCTGGATCCACCAAAAGCCAAACACTAGGTGGGATAGAGAGTCAACCATCTATCAATCTCCTGTAACTGCTTATCGTATTCAGGGTCGTGGGGGTCTGGAGCCTATGGGTGCAAGGCAGGGAACAGCCCAGGATGGGGCACCGACCAATCACAGGGCACAGTCACACACCACTGACATGCATGGGGAGTTTGGTAATGCCACTGAACCTGAGCATGTTTTTGAACCGTGACTCCAACCCAGGTCCCAGAGGTGTGAGGCAACAGTGCTAAACACTGCACCTACGTGGCGACCCTAGAGGGTCCCCAAACAAGCTGAAGAGGGAGACCAAAATCAAGCCAAGGCAAGACTCGAACATCTGAGAAGGCTACGAGTAAGACACCGAGCCATAAGCCAGGCCCCCAAACCCCCCACGGCATTAAAATGGACCCATTTACACTCAGGCGCGTTGAAGACGATCATCGTCCAGCACAGAGAAAAAGCAGCACAGAGATAGAAGCTCGTGGCTATCAGCAGACACACACTAACGTTAAGGAACTCGAGCACGTGGCAGGAGTATTAACAGGCAGCAAGGGCGCTAAAAGGAAGGGAGCGAGGCGGAGATGGGGCCGGCATTAACGAGACGAGATGGGGCCCGGAGACGGGGCGGCGGGGGGGGGGTAATGCCGTGCGACTCGCGCATTCACCGACGCGCTGTTATTAACGTGGCGACAGGACCACGGGAAGAAATAAATATTAATACACATGCAGACAGGCTGCGGAGAGGGGGGGGCAGAGAGGCAGCGACGGTAATCCCACTCAAAAGGAAATGAAGGAGGGGGCAGAAACAGACAACAGATGGAGGAAATGTACTCAGCAGGAGCGCGAGGGAAGTACACTGATTAGTGTTTGCAGATGTTTGATGGGCTGATTTGACTGTACTGTAATGAGACTGTGGATATGCAGCAGGCAGCTGTCTGCGTCTGCGTGGCTGCAGCAACAAACGGGCCGAGCAGGACAGCAGGCTCATGCCAATGAAGCAGCTCCGCTTCTGTCTACTCAGGACAGGCAGAGGGAGGAAGGGAAGCCAGAGGATGAGAGGCTGAACGAGGGAGGGAGCAGGGACTAGGCAAATAAAACATCACAGCACAGGCTGCAGAACGGAGAGAGGCGGAGCAGAAACAGAGGCTCTGTGCAGCAGGGAGAGCGCAGACTGGGGGGGGGGGGGGGGAGAAAGGTAGCCTGCATGTACAGCATCAGCACAAAAACACACAAAATAACCAAACAGGTGGCAGGTGGCAGAGAGGCTACAAGCGGGTACTGCAGACAGGGGCTTGGCCGGGCTGAGAGAGAGCTGAACTTTGATATAAACATCCATGCACTTCTATAACTGTTTATCCAGCAAAGGGGTGCAGGGGACACCCTGGACGGGATGCCAGTCCATCACAGGGCACAAGGCAGGGGACACCCTGGACGGGATGCCAGTCCATCACAGGGCACAAGGCAGGGGACACCCTGGATGGGATGCCAGTCCCCCACAGGTCCCACACGCACACACACATTATGAGATGTTTTGAAGATGTCATTTTACTAAAACACTGACCCAGGCTGAGTTAGACTGGTTCAGCTGGTTGATCATGACCACAGAGCTGCAGCCGTAATCGAAGACCAGCCTCCAGAAATCAGCGGTGGTCCCGGGCAGCGGGTGCGGCGTGACGATGAAGGCGGCAGGCTGGTGGAAGCTGTCCATGAGCACGGCGTTGATGTAGTTGTTACTCTCGCCCTCGGTGGTGACGAGGAAGGGCAAGGCGCGGTCAGGTGGCAACACATCCATGCTGCGGTTCTTCTCGCGGTTACGTGGCAACAGCGCGATGCTGCACTCCTCCACATCCAGGTGAGGCGTCACCGAGTTCAGCGTCTGCCATGGGGGGGGGGGGGGACGACGACAGTGAGTGAAAGAGTCAAGATGAAATGAGGGATGAGATTTCAGAGGGTCACAGGTGGGGGGAAGAAGGAAGGGAGGAAGGAGGAGTGGAGGGGGGTGACAGGAGAGGAGTAGGAGAAGGAGGAGAGAAGGACCAGGAGGAGCAGAGGCCCTGAGAGAGAAGGAGCGGAGAGAGGAGAGAAAGCACTGGAGTGGATTTTATTAGAGGAGAGCAAAGAGAAAACAAAGGAATAGGGATGAAGTGAAAACAAAGGCAGGGAGAGGAAGAGACCAAATACAACAGGTGGAAAGTAGAGGAGAGCTGAGAGAGCGATACAATACGAGGAAGAGGAACGTGGAGAGCCGACAGCGGAAAGACAAAGACGACGCAGAAAAACAAGGCGAAAGCAGGGGGATATGGGAGCGAGGGCGCTACGGGCGGGGGGGGGGAGGGTCCTGCGGCTCCCACCCCCACACAGAGCCACACGGACTGACAGGTGGGACACACCAACCTGCCAAGTGGGGGCAGTTCTGAGCAGCTTCTAATACCAGCCATGAATCACGGACAAATTTAATGCACAAAAATAACAAAATCAGGTCATCTTGCTGCATTATGAATAAGCAGGTTATACACTGATCCAAATGCAATTCAAATGAGAGCCAGTCACCTTTTCTCTGGGATGAATATTTTGATTATCCGCCAATTAGTCTACACTATATTAAAGGATATTTGAACCATTAATGTCCCACGGAGATCACAGTTCGCAAAGGGGAGGTGCCTTTTACACAGCATAAGTGGAACACGATGCTTTCATTGGGCTGAAATGTTCACATAACAGCGGATCAAAGGATCAACAGAACGTCTCAACCCGAAAGGAACAGGAAAACAGCACTGGGTGTGTAATATGAGAAAGAGACAGGAGACTTTGCGGCCTAAGCAATAAATCGCAGGGTATGAAGGCCACAGTGCCTTGGACATGGATCCCGGCGCCAGGTTGGGTGGCTCCCCGAACTGACGGCCTCCCCCAACCCGTATGCCTCCAGACGAGCTGACGGTCATACTGTGAGCTGTGGGAGGAAGCCGTGTGACACACCAATTCGCCCACACACACGCACAGACAGCTGTACCCCAACCCACACGTTAATCAAGAGCTAATCAGCTGAATAGCGATTCTCTTCCTGCCTGAGATGACGGGGCCTCGATCCAATAATGTAAGTGCAACCAAACTAATCTCTTGCTCTGTCTCTCTCTCCCTTTCTCTCTCTCTCTCACACACACACACACACACACACACATACACACACAGAGACCTGTATTCATATCTTTGTGGGGACCATCCACACATTTCTATGGACAAAACCTTAATCCCCACAACAACAACCTAAACCTCTACCTACTGTAACCTTAATCATAAGTGACCAAACAAAATACTTGACTTTTGTCATTTTTAGTTTTTTCATTGCAGTCTGAAAAAATGTCCCCGCAATGACAAAATGCCAGGTTTTTATCACATTGTGGGGACATTTGCAGGCACACACAGACACAGAGATACACACAGGGCAGCCGTCTGCTCTGCTCAGACAGTCAGCAGAGTTGCCTTCAGACACCCTGCCCTTGGGGTGCTTCTCGTTTTTACGGATCGTCTGCATCTCTTATTCTCTTTTTAGTTTCTTTTCTTTCCGTAATGCCTTATTCAGCATTTCTCCTTTTATCTTTCCATTTCCGTCCTTTCCTTATTTCACTCCTTCCCCACATGCGTTAATCACACATTCCCACCCTCCCCCCTCAGGATCGCAGTCACCCATGCAGGTCAGGCTGTATTCTCGCAATTTAAAGCTGCACGGCGACATTGTAGCAAGCCCCCCCCCCCCACACACAGGAGCCCCCCCACACACACACAGAAGGGGCCCCCACACACATAGGAGCCGCCCCCCCCCCATACACAAGGGGCTGCC